ACCGATTTCATGTGTTCACTCATATCTTTCAATGTACTTACCTTGAAGGAACACTTGCGGCACGTCAGACGTCTACGACACGTCCAACCGTGACGTTTAAATTCTTCTAACACGTCAAAGTTCTGGTTGCAAATTTTGCATTGCAGGCAATTATTCAAGCTTATGTGTTTCAAAAGGGATATCTTGTACATGAAAATTTTGCCGCATACAGTGCAGGGCCAAGAGTTCTTCTGCTCCATCGAGGCGATCATTTCTGAGTTGACATCATAGGCTTCGGGACGATCCGTAACCGAAGTATTACTATTTTTGGAAATTGATATGTTCTGAATCGATTCACGAGGTAACACACTAAAACACAAATTATAATTAAGTTAAACAACTTAACTCACTGAATGTATGAGCAGCTATTCAATTTGTGTCAAGTAGAGCTTAAATTTCGTTTCGTAAACATACCTATCGTAGGGACCACAAAATAGTTCATCGACATTCTTTGCATGAGTATTCAATTTTTCCTGAAGGATGATGTCCTCTATAATTTCAAACATATTTTCCATGTCTTCAGCATCCTTTACGGCCCGGAAATCATTAGGTGAATTATTTCGATCATCCTTTAGATAATGCAGAATTTCAGAAAACTGAGGTCCCTTAGGTGAACTTCTGAAAAATAAATTACGATAGAATTAAATAATGTCAAACGCCAGGCATAATTTACCACTAAATATTCAATTTACATAATTCAAGAGTATGAATTGCTGAAATTACTATTTCACTATTTTACGAAGCGAATGTAGGGGACATGCTTAAAAATATAATTGTTCAAACAACATGAGAACTTGGTATATCAAAGCAGGACGCAAGATATTTGCTAAATTATAAATGTGTTTGACACTTATAATTTAGCAAATATCATCTATATATAATATCATCTATTATAATGTATATGTAAATATACACGCCAAGAAAACCCTTGACAATATGCTTTATTATACATTTTACCTCTTTATGGTAAAACTTTATTTACCTAATAATTTTGCCGATCCCCATCCAAACGAAATTATTTACTACTTGTTATAATTACATACTAATTTTGTTATACACTGATTTTAATTGTTGTGTTGCAGAAGATATTGCCTCAGCTTAGAGCCACCCTTAGCTTCTGACATGCTGGCACCGTGCCATAAGGCGCTAATTCATCTACCGAGTCTTCGATAATATTCTTCGCTATACTAACGTTTAATCGTAATTGTAATAAACAATGTTACAAATAATCACAATTTATCATTAAATATTTAGTTTACTTACTTAAAGTATCAAATGGTAAAAAATTTTTGTTAGTTTTCTACTTTAAAATATTTTTACAAAATAGCCTATTCTTTACAAGGGAAAAATAGAAAATATAAAAGAGTAATGATTGATTCCTAATTACGAAAATTAAAAATTATGTAAAAAAAACAGTTAATATTAAATGTTATTATCTGTTCTCACAAAAAATTAAATAACGAGGTAATGTGCTAATCAAACACAAACACAATAAGTACAAATTAAGCATACTGGAGGAAAATTTCTGCTACATTCATCTAATGATTTATCCCTTAAATATGATTTATCCCTTAAATACCCGTAATAACACTCACTTCATAATCATAGTAATTGTGTTATTGTAAAACACACTTAAAATCATAAAAAAGATAATATTAAAGTAATTTAATTCTTGTTATTTTTTCATTTATTTGATCTTTAATTCTTGCTTTTCTGCCGTTCTTATCACTCAAACAATAATGAATAAATATATTAAAACATATGACAGTTTTATGTTTTTGTATGCATAATTATATGTGCGTGCGTGCATCGTAAATATTCGTCAGATGATCGCGGGAAGCGTGTAGTGTGACGTTTTTTCATAATTTCAGAATAAGAGAGAGAAATGGAATTTTTTTCTATATTTATCTGATGTTTTATCACTTAAAATTCGCCAATAACAATAATTGCTGCACAACCATCGTAATTTCGTTATTGTAAGACACATGCCACACAGCACAGGAATTTCAGAAAGCTTTTAGAAAGGTTCAGAAACATTGAATCTTTCTGAGATTTTCTGTAATCTGTCTGAAAGCTTCTTTGAATTTCTGTGCTGTGTGAGATAGAATCCCATAAAATGTAATGTCAAAATAATATAAAATATTTATTTTTTATTTATTAGTTCTTTAATTTTTACTTTTCTGTTGCAATTATCACAAAACTAAGCATGACGCAAAATATTAAAAGATATGAGAACTATATGTTTGTTAAAAGGTCAGTACAAATATAACAACAAATTTTCCTGAAGAATTATAAACCTAGATAATATGTTTTAATGAGAACTACCACTGCATTTCATAAAGAACAATCTTGTTCAGAAGTATGCTGCATAAGGATTGTAATTTATCGAGATTCATTCTCCTACAAAAGATATGACATTACTATCCTGTGCCATTTTGCAATATTCCCAATAATAGTCGAGATAGTAATTAAAAAAGATTGGTGAATGATCACGCGCGATATGGTAGATGAGCTGTAGGCGATATGGTAGATGAGCTGTAGGCGCCGTCTGCCGTTGTATACTTATATATTAAATCAAGCTGAACAAAAAAATCATCTACCATTTTGTAAATGACCACATAAATTTATAAATATTAAAGAAAATTTTACATATATGATTGCATATCTTAATAGACAAATTTTCTTTAGTTAATATCTAAAAACCTATGTGATCATTTACAAAATATCACATAGATTTACAAAAGGACTTTTGTATTATTATATTGTATAAGGACTGCTGTTCATCTGTTATATTCTACGTTCTCACAAAGAGTCATCATGAAGGTCTGACAAATATCGCGCTTAGAATACCGCGTATAGAGGATCACTTAATTTATTACAAATCTATAAAAAGACCTTAAGTAATTACAAAATAAGTACAAAATTTAAAATTAATCTTTGTAGAAAAATACTCGGTCAAGGAAATGCAATGTAAAGAAGGCTGTAAACATATTATTTATCTCCCATTTCCCTTTCTTTTGTTTGATCTAAATGATCGCTCTCTTTTGTCGCACGGACTCTAGGAAAATCTAAAACAATGTTTTCTTGAGCATCAATGCTAACGATTCAGGAAGCAGATATTTTTTTACGTGGTTGCGCATATTTTCCTCAGAAGAATAAGTGTTGCTGTAAACGTCGTAGATAAAATATATCTCATCCGCATGTGAAGCCGCAAGTGTGATTCATTAATAGTGAGTGGTAATATCTTTTTGCGGCAAGTTCAATACTGATACTTGACATTATGTTGATCCAGGTCATCCTGTGTTTTGAAGGTTTTCTTATAATTTCTGCAAAAAAAATTCGTTTATGTACTTTGCGCTGATGTTTGTTTAAGCCACATTTGTGCTTGAAGACGTCATCACACTTGTCGCATTTTATTGGCCGCGTGTTAGCGCGGACGGTTTCATTATGTTTCTTAAGAATGCACTGCGATTTTAATTTCTTGAAGCATATCTCACGTTTGAAATGGCCGGTAGACTTGTGTCTCGATTTTATGTGTTCAATTAAACAATGCTCTCTATCTGTCTTGTAAGAACACTTGTGGCAAGTATACTTTCGTCTACAACATGTCTACTGTGTTTCTCGAAGTTAGCGTTGAATTTGAAACGTTTGCCGCATACAGAACACTTCCAAGAGTACCACGGCTCCATGCAGGCGATCATCCCTGAGTTGACAACCTAGGTTTCCCCTCGATCCATAACCCACGAATTATTATTTGTGGAAGGCGACATGTTCCGAACCAATCTTGGAGAAATACCAGGTACCGCTGTGTGCCATAAGCGCAGAGGCAAAGTAACTAAAACACAAATCACAATCAAATCAATTAATATACTAATAAAGTGCTAATAATAAAATACTAGGTTCAAGAGATGAATATTGAAATTATTTGTGGTGTTTCAATTGTACGACGACTTTATTAGAAGTATTAAAATATTAATATGTTAAACAAATTAAATAGAAATAAAACAAAAACCCAGAAATAATTTTTATACACATACATCACATACATATATATATATATATATATATATATATATATATATATATATATATATATATATGTATATATATATTGTCCTTTAAATTATTTTCTAAATGCGGCATATTTCAAGTACAGAAATCTAGTGGATATTACAAAGTGAGTTACAACAATGGTAACGAATCTCGCAGAATCGGCTTTTCTTGGTAAGAGCGGCAAATATATTTTCAGGTTATTCCTAGCTTATTCCTAGTTTGCAAATATCTTACATGTCGCTTGGAATTTTAATATTGTGTCATGTATTATAATTATGTATTATAATTAATTACAAAATTATGTATTATAATGAATTACAAAATTAATTACAAAAGAAGTACAAAATTCAACAGTAATATTTATAGAAAGATGATCTGCCTTGACAAGACAACGTAAAGTTTATTGTTGATGTGTTTTAAATGACGCTTTCTCGTTGAAAATTGCATAAATAAAAGCAGATTATTTCTTCTTTTCTCTTGTTTCTTTTGTTAGATCTAAATAATCACTTTCTTTCATCTCGCAGAGCTTCAGAAAGTTCGCAATCACGTTTTTTTCTTTTTTCTTAAAGTAATTGTCATAATTGCGAACTTGTTTCTTCGTGTGTTTTACAGACTACTGCTCTGGGCATATGCCTTGCCGTACATATTCCAGAATTTTTATTTTTCAACCATATGGCGCCGCATGTGCTCCTCCAAATTATCTCCTTGTTAATGTTTTCTGCAGACCGTACAGTATGTATCTTTTTGCCTCCGGACACGCTGCTCGAGATTTTCTTTGGTTGTGAAATAACGTTTACAAATCTTGCAGAAGAACTCTGACTTGAAGTGTTTTCTTCTTTTGTAGTTATAAAGTGCTTCTTGGCCCTTGCTAACGTAAGCACACTTGTCACAATTTAACACTTACCTGTCAATATGGATCACAACCTTATGCCGCTTCAGATCAAAAGTCGTACTGAACTTCCTGACGCATATATGTCACACTCGTAATCGGCCGCGTTCTACTTAACGCTCGCAATCACGCGAGCATTTTATTTATGTTACTCATTAAATGTTAAACATAGAAAGAATGAGGCTCGCATCGTTGCAAGCGTTAAATGGAACATATCCATCGTAGGTAATCTCGTGCATCCGTTTGATGTATTTATTCAACTTGTCCTTTCTGTTTATCTTGTACGGACAGGTATACTTCAGTCTATAAGACATCTCATCGTGATAATTTAATTTGCTGTGAGTAATTGTACCATCTGTTACACTTTTCCATGCTAATCTTCTGTACGGAATGTTCAATAAACTTTGAGGGCTCACGAAATTGATCCGTGCTTATTATGGCAGTTTCTTCCTCGTTGAGATTCTGTTTTCTTGTGACTTCATTCACGAAATAATACTCTTGCTCCGTCTCCTAGTTTGTCTCACTTTCTTTCGTAATGTGATGTTTACATTCTTCTGGTAAAGAGACAATCTCTGGTGTCTATTTTATACTTTCGAGCGTATGCTTCGAATAACCAGCACCCGTTACGATCAGGGAATTAATAGATGAGTCAATAAAATTATTAGAATCCGGAACGTGCAGACAATCCATAAGTAAGTCTCTGAAACACAAATTAGAATAAAATTAATCGCCGGAGCAAAAATTCTTGGTACCCGTTTTGGCAGTTCGCGAGATTTCCTCTGCGTTAGGAGGCCTTCTGCGCATATGTAGATGGTGCGATAGCCAATAGTAGACTGTTACGTTATACCACGCGAAGAAAATATCGCGAAATGCCAGTACTGCTTTACACACAAAACAAGCGTTTATTTACAAACGGAAACAGACAATTACATACGGATTTTAGATATCGATGAAAGTCGTACCAATCTGGTGAAAAAATGACAACATTTTGCGCGTTCGCAGTTTAATTTAACTATAAGTTCGCAGTATAATTTAACTATTCCCGATCACAGTAATATATGGCAAGAAATTTTACCATACATGTGATATATAAATACATAGATACTACTCAAATGGCATGTACTGAGAACTTTAATATAGTTGTACTATTCAATATAATTATACTATTTGTATAGTAGAGAAAAGATGCAATGAATACTTTAATGCCAGATTGCTGTTGGCCTTTAGGCCATAGTATCAACTGTCGACAGTGGACAAATATTTTAAAGTTCATAGTTAATTACTATACTAACGAATGCTATGTACAATATTCATTTTAATTACTGGCATAATCTGTTTCAGGAAATCAAATGAGTATTACATGAGTATTGTAATAGTAACAGATATATCATATTTGCAAGAACACATTCTTCAAAAACCCTTGTCTTACTTCCTACTCCAAACTTCATATCTGCATATCAGGATAGACATTTTTCGTTCCAACTCTACAGTAAACAAGCTGAGATCTTATGCTTATTCTCATATATAAATTAAAATTTTAATCTATCCAGCAATAAACATTACTGCGATTGAAATCCAATGCTAAAAGGAATACCGCCTCCACTTGAGATAAATTTACAAATAACGATTATTAATATGAACCTTAGGGTCTGAAAGGACCAGCTCTTTGTCGGTCGCCGGTTCCCAATAAAAATATTTCCGATTTTACTCTTGTCGTCGGACAATACAAAGATGTTTTAGCGCTTTCTGTACGTTCACGCCCTTTTTGTATGTCTAGTTATGGGCGCGTGCGTGCACCGACGGGAATATTCATTATTTGATCGCAGTATGCAAATAGTATAATGCTTTTTCAGAATTTCAGAATGAGATGGAGAGACAATGAGAAATTTTTTCTCCATTTATGTGATGTTTTATCTCTTAAATATTAACTATATGTTTGTTAAAATGTAAGTACATATATAAAAACAAATTTCTCCTAAAAATTACCTACTTAGATAAAATGCTTTAATGAGAATTGCAATTACATTTCGTAAAAAACAGTCTTGTTCAGAAGTATACTGCATAAGGATTGTAATTTCATCATCGCGATTCATCAAAAGACATGACATTAGTACCTTATTAACCTTAAAAGGGGAAAGCACTACAGAGGGTCACAAAAATGGAATTTTTTTACTTTAGTTAATAGTACTCTGTGTATAGAATATATTTCCAAAGTTTGGTTTTGAAATTCAAAATCTAAATGGTCGTACAGTACCATTTCTCGCACGCAAGTATGAGCGCGCAAGGCGAGGTCTGAGCGAGGTGTGACTCGCAACGGCATTGTTCCGAAAAACCCATTTGAGAAAACGTAAAAACTATTCTAAGAAAAATATATTAAAAAGGTGCTTAGATCGGCTCGAAAAAATGGAAATTATAAATTAAAATTGAGCCTCTATGTATATTATGTGCTCATAATAAGGACGCCGAGCCAATAAAGAGACAGGCGCTCCGCAGCCTACGTCGCAGTAAAGAGTCTCGAATAGCAAATAAACAACACCTACTTGAGCAAAATGACTTGTTTGAAGAAGCTGAAGCTTTACTGTATGGGGCAGGAATATCGGTATTTGCAGAAAACAACTGTAAGTTTACAATTTTCTATAACTTTAAACGCGTTTTTCTCGAAATTATAAACGCGTTTTTCGTGAAAAGACTTCTTTCAAACTAATATGCAAGATAATTCAATAACAATTTAACCAATAGACTTGCCCTTTTATATGCATTTAGTTTATTATATTTATTACTTGATGAACGTATGCAATCCATAAAATTATTTATTTAAACAATATTTTTGCGTACACAAAAATGGATTTCTATGAGTGCCAATCAAACTTTTAATTCATGGGCTGCTTTTTTGTGAATTACAAAAATTTTTTTCGACTTGTTTAGGTTCATCGTCAAATTATATTTTTAAAAATTAAAATAATGTTACCCTATTTTGGTTTCAGACAAATTCAACAGGAGACAAAATGTACACTGTTTTGCGCCGAATCTGTCACAATGCTCAACATTTCTTTCACTACATACAATGTATAAACATTATTCTTAAATTATATATATTTCTTTAATATTTTATTTACACAAACAAAAACACTACAAAGTTGGGAAGCGCCTGGATAAGTACATTCTTCAAAAAGCATTAACGAAAATTTCATTAATTTTGACGTTCTACAGTGTTTTCCCCATTTAAGGAAACAAAATAATATATATATATATATATATATATATATATATATATATATAATATATAATTATACATAATTATAAATAATACATAATATATAATTCATCATAAAGTCATTCTCTATTTTTTTCTCAAATATGTACTTTCTTTAATATACACTTATACGCAATTATATATACATTATTATATATATATATATATATATATATATATATATATATATATATATAAAATATAATTACGTAATACATAATATATAATTCGTCGTAAAGTCATGCTCTATTTCTTTCTTAAGTACCGCGTTTATTATTTTGCGTGTAGAGTGTCACTTAATCTACTAAAAATCTATAAAAACAGCGTAAATAATTAAAATTAATACAAAATTCAATAGTAACATTCGTAGAAAGATACTTCGTCACGAAAGTGCAACGTAAAGAGAGCTGCAAATATATTATTTCTCTCCTTCTGCCCATTCTTTTGAGTGATCTAAATAATTGCTTTCTTTTGACTCACGAGCCGAGGGAAACGATACTTTCCTTGAATATAGCCAACGATTCAGGAAACAGAATAATGTTTTATTACATAGTTGTACAAATTACCCTTCGAAATATACGTGTTGTCGTAAACGTCGCAGAAAAAAGGTCTCTCATTCGTATATCATGCCGCAAGTGTGACTCTTTACTAGTGAATGGTAATATCTTCTTGCAATACGGACAAGTTCAACTCTGATACTCGGCACTATGTCGGTCCAGTCATCGTGCGTTTAGAAGATCTTATTACAAGTTCTGCAGAAAAAAATTTTCCTGTAAATGTACTTTGTGCTAATGTTTGTTTCAGTTATATTTGTGCTTGAAGACACTATCGTACTTATCGCTTCTTATTGACTGTGTGTTAGCGTGAACGGTTTCCTTATTTTTCTTAAGAATGCTCTGCGATTTTTATATCATAAAACATAGGGGCGGTAGTTTCCATGTTATGTGTTCAATCAAACAATCCTCTGTAGTTATCTTCTAGGAACACTCGTGGCAGATATACTCTGATATACGACACGTCTTATCGTGACGATATATTTCTTCTAGCAAGTCAAACTTCTGGTGGCAAATCGTGTACCGATTTCACGTGTTCACTCATATCCTTCAATATACTTGCCTTGAAGGAACACTTGCGGCACGTCAGACGTCTATGACACGTCCAATCGTGACGATTAAATTCTTCTAACACGTTAAACTACTGGTCGCAAATTTTGCATTGCAGGCAATTATTCAAACTTATGTGTTTCACGTAAGAAACTTTGTATTTGAAAATTTTGCCGCATGTAGGACATTTCATCAACGTGTCCACCTCTGACGTGTGTTTTTTTAAGTGATTCTGAAGGGTATATTTGTTCTTCAAGGTGAGACCACACTTGTCACATTTTAACGATTGTATGTTTTCCGCATGAACTGTTTCTTGATGTCTCTTAAGACTTTTCTGCCTCTCAAAACTCATGATGCATATGTCACAAAATATCGGTAAAACGTCAATAGCATTGTGTACTGATTTCATATGTTTAATCAAACAGTTCTTTGTATCTGTCTTGTAAGAACACTCGCGACAGGTATACTCAGTTTTAGTACACATTTTAGAGTGACGAATAAATTTTTCTAACACGTCAAACTTCTGGTCGCAAATTTGACATTGCAGGCAATTATTCAAGCTTATGTGTTTCTCGAAAAGAACCTTGTTTTTGAAATTTCTGCGGCATGCAGAACATTTCATCAAAGTGTTCGCCTTTGTGTGTATTCTTAAGTGCATCTGTAGGGTACGTTTGTTCTTCAAGATGCAATCACATTTAAACGATTGTGTGTTATCCACATGAACGGATTCCTTATGTCTCTTCAGATGTGGCTGCCTCGTAAAATTCTTTAAGCATATGTCACAAAATATCGGTAAAACGTCGATAGCATTGTGTACTGATTTAATGTGTGTAATAAAACAGTTCTTTGAACGTGTCTTGTAAGAACACTCGCGACAGGTATACTCAGTTTTAGTACACATTTTATAGTGACGAATAAATTTTTCTAACACGTCAAACTTCTGGTCGCAAATTTGGCATTGCAGGCAATTATTCAAGCTTATGTGTTTCTCGAGGAGAACCTTGTTTTTGAAATTTCTGCGGCATGCAGGACATTTTCTCAACGTGTCCACATGAACTGTTTCCTTATGTCTCTTCAAATGATACCGCCTTAAAAATTTCTTTGAGCATATGTCACAAGATATCGGTAAAACGTCGATAGTATTGTGTACCGCTTTCATGTGTTCACTCAAACTCATCAATGTATCTGCACCAAAGGAACACTTGCTGTGGGGATACTCTGGGCTACGACACGTCTCATTGTGACGATATAATTCTTCTGGCAGGTCAAACTTCATGTGGCAAATTTTGCATATCAGGCATTCATTCAAGGTCCTGTGTTTCAAAAAGGAGATCTTGTGCCAGAAAGGTTTGCCGCATACAGAGCACGACCAAGGGTACTCATGCTCCATCGAGGCCATTATTTTTGACTTGACATTCTGGGTTTCCGGACGATCCGTAACTGAAGAATTACTATTTTTTGAAGACGATACGTTCTGTGCCGATTCTTGAGAAGTACTAGGTATCATTGTGTATCATTAGTGCAGAGGCAAAGTCACTAAAACACAAATTACAATCAAATCAAATAATATACTAATAAAGTACTAATAATCAATTATTAGAGATTTGTCAACCGATCAATATTGAATTTATTTATGATGTTTTAACTATACGACAATTTTATGGGAATCATTAAAATATTAGTACGTTAAAATAATTTAAGAAAAATGAAGAAAGCAATGAAGGTTTTCCGTTTTAATCATCCTTCAAATTATTTTCAACATTTTGGATACAGAAATTAAGTAAATATTTCAAGAAGGCATAAAGAGTATATTTGTTACAAAGCGAGTTGCGACAATGCCAACGAATCTTGCAGAGTCGTTTTTTCTTGGTAAAAGTAGCAAATATCTTTTCAAGTGTTTCTTCTAATTTGCAAATATATTACATGTCGATTGAAACTTTATTATTGTATTAAGGCTTGTCGTTTTTCACAAAAAGAAATATGTTGATTCTATAGTAGATGAAATAACGTACAAACGTATACAGCCCAATATAAAGTCAGTTCCATCTTAATAATCACGTTTATTGCAACGCACGGAGGATCAGTAGATATATTAAGAATCTGCATAAACCGTAATTAATTACAAAATAAATACAAAATTTAATAATAATATTCGTAGAAAGATAATCTGTCTTGAGATGGTGAGGAAAAATTTTTTGTAGATAAGTTTCAAATGATATTTTCTGGTCGAAAACTACACAAATAAAAGCAGATTATTTCTTTCTTCCTCCTGTTTCTCTTGTTTAATCTGAATGGCTACTTTCTTCCGTCTCACGGACCATCAGAATATTTGCAATGATGTTTTTTCGTTTTCTTTTTCAGAAAATCATCTTAATTATGTTGAGTGAACCTGATTGTTTTCTCGTTTACTTATACGCACTACTATTCTGGGAGTATGTCTTACCGAAAATACCACGGAAGTATTATTTTTCAACCGTACGAGTCCTCATGTGCTCCTCTAAATTATCTTTTCTTGTTAACGTTTTCTGTAGACGGTACAGCATTTATTTTTGTGCCCCTGGATATGCCGCTTGAGATTTTCTTTTGTTGTAAAATAATGTTTACATATCTTGCAGAAGGATTCTGACTTGAAATGTTTTCTTCTTTTATGGTTATACAGTACATTTTGGCTTTTTCTGACGTAAACTCCCTCGCCACAATGTACCACCTGCCGGTCAGTATGGTCTGCAACCTGGTCCGCTTCAAATCGTAAATCGTTTTAAAATTATTGACGCACATATATCAGTCGTAATCGTAGGTAATCCCCTGTATCCGTTTGATGTGTTTATTCAGGCTGTCCTTTCTGTTTATCTTGTACGGATATTTGGGACATGTATACATAAGTCCATGCGATATCTCGTCTTGACAATTTAATTTACACTAAAAGCTGAAGTTCTGACCTCAAATTTACTGTGAATAATTGTACATTCTGTTATGTTACGTTTTTCCATGCTAATCTTCCGTACAGAATGTTCTCTATACTCAGAACATTCCCAAAGAAAATCCTCGTTCTTTATGGCAATTCTTTCTTCGTTGAGGTTCTATTTTCTTGTGACTTCCTTCATACAATAATATACTTGCTGCATCTCATTGATCTTATCAGTTTTTCTCGTAATGTGATGTTTACTTTTTTGGCAAGAAGTCTATCTGCGGTATATACTCTATACTTTCGAGCTTATGTTCCAAGTAATCAACATCCTTTACGATCAAACGAATAAATAGATGTGCCAATAAAATTATTAGAATTCTGAACGGAGCGTTCATAGATAAGTCTCTAAAATAAAAATTAGGATAAAATTAATTGCCGAAGCAAAAATTTTTTGTATCAGTTTTGGCAGTTGGCAACATTTTCTCCGCGACAGTAGGCCTTCTGCATATACATGGATGGTGCAATATACAATAGCTGACTGCTATGTTACACCACACGAAGAAAATGTCGCGAACCGTTAGCACTGCTTTACACATAAAATTTTTATTTGCAAACAAAAACGGAAATTGACATATGGATGGCAGCTAGATGTCCATGAAAGTCGTACCAATCTGGTGAAAAAATACAACGTTTTGCACGCGCGCAGTTTAAATGAACTATTCCGTTTATGAAACAGTAATATAAGGTACGAACTTTTACCATACATTTGGTATATAAACACACAGATACAACTCAAGTGTATATACTGATAAGATACCGATAAGATACTGATAAGATACAAGTGGTATATACTGAGAAGCTTAATATAGTTCTACTATTGAATATAGTTATACTATTTCTATAGTAGAACCAAGATAAATTGGTTTTAATGCCAAATTACCAGTAGGCCATAGCATCAACAGTGTCGACAGTGAACAAATATTTTAAAGTATATAGTTAATTAATATACAAATGAATGCCACGTATAATATTCATTTTAACTATTACCAAAATCTGTTTCAGGAAATCTCATGAGCATTACACAATAGTATATCTGTATATTATTTTCGCAAGAACACATTCTTCGAAAAAACTTGTTTTATCTTCCTACTCCAGACTTTGTGTTCTGCATATCAGGATAGATATATCACGTTGCATCCAAGATTACTATAAACAATGTGAGGTCTTCCGTTTATGCACAATAAATTGAAATCTTACTCCTCGTCCACAATCTTGCTTTAATTTTAAGCCGTATGAAATTGACTAACCCCAGTCGATTATTTAAAAAATAATCAGTTATGATTTGTCAATATCTTACGGCTTAAAGTTTAAAGCAAGGTTGTCGCCCAAGGGTTAGTCTCCAGCTATAAATATTACTGCGATTGAAATCGTCAACCAAATGCTGAAAGGAATGTTAGCTTTGCTTAAGATAAATTTACAAATAACAATTAGGAATATGGGCTGGAGGGTCTGAAAGAACCAGTTATTGATCTGTCGGCTTAACGTGCTGTGCGTTTGTCGATAAAGATATTTCCGATGTCACACATTTTTCGTCGGATATCACCGAACATAATCATAATGCAAGCGAAAAGATATTTACTCGCTTTCTGTGCGTTCACGCCTTTTTTGTATCTCTAGTTATGTGCTCGCACGTACATCGACGGGAATATTCACCATATGGTCGCACACTAAGAAAAAAAATAGTTGGAATAACTATAATCTCACTATATTTTATAGTTTGTTTTGGCCTAAAAATATATTTATAGTTCATCTAAACATGAAGTTATAGTAGAATGAACACAGATTTATAGTCACCATCGTATTACTCTATATATATGGTAAAGAATTTTTTGGGAATATAGTTACATGTACCTATATTTGCCAAATATTCCAATAGTATTAACTATATGAAATAGTTAATTTCTCTTACCATTCGTAGCCTGTTTGCTGCCTCACTATATTTTTTATTTCGAATAATTATAATTTTTGGTAAAAATTTTTCACCGGGTAAGTTATACTATGCTTATATTGTAAATATTACAAATATTACGTTAACATTTACTATAAAAATTATATTCCTAACTATAATCTTTTTACTATGCCATTATAGTTCCAAATATCATACATTTTTTTCTCAGTGCAGTATGCGTATAGTGTGATGCTTTTCCAGAAATTCAGAGTAAGAGGGACAGAGAAAGGGAAGTTTTTTCTCCATTTATATGATATATTAAAATTTAAATATTAACTTTATGTTTGTTAAAATGTAAGTACAAATATAAAAACAAATTTCTCAGAAAAATTATCAAATTAGATAAAATGCTTTAATGAGAATTGCAACTGTATTTCGTACAAAACAGTCTTGTTCGGAAGTATACTGCATAAGTATTGTAATTTCATATCGAGATTCATCAAAAGACATAATATTAGACATGATATTAAACATGATATGACTTCATTTACCTTAAAAGAGGAAAGCACTGTAGAGTGTCACAGAAACCGATTTTTTTTGTTTTACTTTATAGTGCTATATGTATAGAATATATTTCCAAAATTAAATTTTGAAATTCAAAATCGAAATGGTCATACAGGTCCATTACTCGCGCGCAAGTACGAGCGTGTAAGGCTAGGTCTGAGCGAGGTGTGACTCGCAACGGCTTTGTTCCGAAAAACCCGTTTGAAAAAACGTAAATAACTATTCTAAGAATGATGTTTTAAAAAAGTGCTTAGATGGCTCAAAAAAATGGAAATATTATAAATTAAAATTGAGCCTCTACGTATGTTATGTGCTGATAATAAAAACGCCGAGCTAATAAAGAGACAGACGCGCCGCAGCCTACGTCGCAGTAAAGAGTCTCGAATAGCAAATAAACAACATCAACTTGAGCAAAATGACTTGTTTGAAGAAGCTGAAGGTTTACTATATGAGGCAGGAATATCGGGAATTTGCAGAAAACAACTGTAAGTTTACAATTTTTTATAACTATAAACGTGTTTTTCTCGAAATTTTAAACGCGTTTTTCTTGAAAAGACTTCTTTCAAACTAATATGCAAGATAATTCAATAACAATTTAACCAATGGACTTGCCCTTTTATATACATTTAGTTTATTATATTTATTACTTGATGAACGTATGCAATCTATAACATTATTTATTAAACAATATTTTTACGTACACAAAAATGGATTTCTATGAGAGCCAATCAAACTTTTGATTCATGGGCTGCTTTTTTTGTGAATTACAAAAATGTTTTTTGACTTGTTTAGGTTCATCGTCAAATTATATCCATAAAAATTAAAATAATGTTACCCTATTTTGGTTTCAGACAAATTCAACAGGAGACAAAATGTACACTGTTTTGCGCCGACTCTGTCACAACGCTCAACATTTCTTTCACTACATACAATGTATAAACATTATTCTTAAATTAAATATATTTCTTTAATATTTTATTTACACAAGCAAAAACACTACAAAGTTGGGAAGCGACTGGATAAGTACATTCTTCAAAAAACATTCACGAAAATTTCATTAATTTTGACGTTCTACAGTGTTTTCTTCATTTAAGGAAACAAAATAATATATATATATATATATATATATAAATAATATATATATATATATATATATATAATATATAATTATACATAATATATACTTATACATAATTATATAGTTATATATAATTATACATAATTATACATAATAAATAATATATAATTCATCGTAAAGTCATTCTCTATTTCTTTCTCCAATATATAATTTCTTTAATATATACTAATACGTAATTATATATACATTATATATATATATATATATATATATATATATATATATAATTATATATATTTATATATAATTAATATATAATTACGTAATACATAATATATAATTCGTCGTAAAGTCATACTCTATTTCTTTCTTAAGTACCGCGCTTATTATTTTGCGTGTAGAGTGTCACTTAATCTATTAAAAATCTATAAAAACAGTGTAAGTAATTAAAATTAATACAAAATTTAATAGTAACATTCGTAGAAAGATACTTCGTCACGAAAGTGCAACGTAAAGAGAGCTGCAAACATATTATTTTTCTCCTACTGCCCATTCTTTTGAGTGATCTAAATAATTGCTTTCTTTTGACTCACGGAAACGATACTTTCCTTGAATATAGCCAACTATTCAGGAAACAGAATGATGGTTCATTATATGGTTGTACAAATTACCCTTAGAAATACTCGTGTTGTCGTAAACGTCGCAGAAAAAAGGTCTCTCATTCGTGTATCAAGCCGCAAGTGTGACTCTTTACTAGTGAATTGTAATATCTTCTTGCAATACGGACAAGTTCAAATCTGATACGTCGGCCCAGTTCATCGTGCGTTTAGAAGATCTTATTACAACTTCTGCAGAAAAAAATTTTCCTGTGAGTATACTTTGCGCTAATGTTTGTTTCAGTTATATTTGTGCTTGAAGACACTATCGCACTTATCGCTTCTTATTGACTATGTGTTAGCGTGAACGGTTTCCTTATGTTTCTTAAGAATGCTCTGCGATTTTAATATCATGAAACATAGGGGCGGTAGTCTTGTGTTTCCATGTTATGTGTTCAATCAAACAATCCTCTGTAGTTATCTTCTAGGAACACTCGTGGCAGATATACTCTGGTATACGACACGTCTTATCGTGACGATATATTTCTTCTAGCAAGTCAAACTTCTGGTGGCAAATTGTGTACCGATTTCACGTGTTCACTCATATCTTTCAATGTACTTGCCTTGAAGGAACACTTGCGGCACGTCAGACGTCTACGATACGTCAAACCGTGACGATTAAATTCTTCTAACACGTCAAACTTCTGTTCGCAAATTTTGCATTGCTGGCAATTATTCAAACTTATGTGTTTCTCGAAGGAAACTTTGTATTTGAAACTTCTGCCGCATGTAGGACATTTCATCAACGTGTCCACCTCTGGCGTGTGTTTTTTTAAGTGTTTCTGAAGGGTATATTTGTTCTTCAAGGTGAGACCACACTTGTCACATTTTAACGATTGTATGTTTTCCGCATGAACTGTTTCCTTATGTCTCTTAAGATTTCTCTGACTCTCAAAACTCATGGAGCATATATCACAAAATATCGGTAAAACGTCGATAGTATTGTGTACTGATTTAATGTGTGTAATAAAACAGTTCTTTGAATGTGTCTTGTAAGCACACTCGCGACAGGTATACTCAGTTTTAGTACACATTTTATAGTGACGAATAAATTTTTCTAACACGTCAAACTTCTGGTCGCAAATTTGGCATTGCAGGCAATTATTCAAGCTTATGTGTTTCTCGAGGAGAACCTTGTTTTTGAAATTTCTGCCGCATGCAGGACATTTTATCAACGTGTCCACATGAACTGTTTCCTTATGTCTCTTCAGATGCTGCTGCCTCGGAAAATTCTTTAAGCATATATTACAAGATATCGGTAAAACGTCGATAGTATTGTGTACCGATTTCATGTGTTCATTCATATCCTTCAATGTACTTCCCTTGAAGGAACACTTGCGGCACGTCAGACGTGTACGACACGTCCAACCGTGACGATTAAATTCTTCTAACACATCAAAGTCCTGATCGCAAATTTTGCATTGTAGGCAATTATTCAAACTTATGTGTTTCTCGAAGGAAACCTTGTATTTGAAACTTCTGCGGCATGTAGGACATTTCATCAACGTGTCCACCTCTGGCGTGTGTTTTTTTAAGTGTTTCTGAAGGGTATATTTGTTCTTCAAGGTGAGACCACACTTGTCACATTTTAACGATTGTATGTTTTCCGCATGAACTGTTTCCTGATGTCTCTTAAGACTTTTCTGCCTCTCAAAACTCATGATGCATATGTCACAAAATATCGGTAAAACGTCAATAGCATTGTGTACTGATTTCATATGTTTAATCAAACAGTTCTTTGTATCTGTCTTGTAAGAACACTCGCGACAGGTATACTCAGTTTTAGTACACATTTTAGAGTGACGAATAAATTTTTCTAACACGTCAAACTTCTGGTCGCAAATTTGGCATTGCATGCAATTATTCAAGCTTATGTGTTTCTTGAAAAGAACCTTGTTTTTGAAATTTCTGCCGCATGCAAAACATTTCATCAAAGTGTTCGCCTTTGTGTGTCTTCTTAAGTGCATCTGTAGGGTACGTTTGTTCTTCAAGATGCAATCACATTTGTCACATTTGAACGATTGTATGTTATCCACATGACGTGTTTCCTTATGTCTCTCCAGAATATCCTGCCTCGAAAAATCCTTGAAGCATATGTCACAACGTATCGGTAAAACGTCGATAGTATTGTGTACCGATTTCATGTGTTCATTCATATCCTCCAATGTACTTGCCTTGAAGGAACACTTGCGGCACGTCAGACGTCTACGACACGTCCAACCGTGACGTTTAAATTCTTCTAACACGTTAAATTTCTGGTTGCAAATTTTGCATTGCAGGCAATTATTCAAGCTTATATGTTTCAAAAGGGATATCTTGTACATGAAAGTTTTGCCGCATGCAGAGCAGGGCCAAGAGTTCTTCTGCTCCATCGAGGCGATCATTTCTGAGTTGACATCATAGGCTTCGAGACGATCCGTAACCGAAGTATTACTATTTTTGGAAATTGATATGTTCTGAATCGATTCACGAGGTAACACACTAAAACACAAATTATAATTAAGTTAAACAACTTAAATCACTGAAGGTATGACCAGCTATTCAATTTGAGCCGTGTCAAGTAGAGCTTAAATTTCGTTTCGTACACATACCTATCGTAGGAACCACAAGATAGTTCATCGACATTCTTTGCATGAGCATTCAATTTTTCCCGAAGGATGATGTCCTCTATAATTTCAAACATATTTTCCACATCTTCAGCATCCTTTACGGCTCGGAAATCATTAGATGAATCATTTCGATCATCCTTTAGATAATGCAGAATTTCAGAGAACTGAGGTCCCTTAGGTGAACTTCTGAAAAATGAATTACGATAGAATTAAATAATATCAAACGCCAGGCATAATTTACCACTAAATATTCACGTTACATAATTCAAGAGTATGAATTGCTGAAATTAGTATTTCACTATTTTACAAAGCGAATGTAGGGGACACGCATAAAAATATAATTGTTCAAACAATATGAGAACTTGGTATATCAAAGTAGGACGCAAAATGATATTTGCTAAATTATAAGTGTGTTTGACAGTGTAAATATACACGCCAAGAAAACCTTTGACAATATGTTTTATTATATATTTTTCCTTTTTATAATTAAACTTAATTTATCTAATAATTTTGCCCATCCCCATCCCAAACGAAATTATTTTCTACTTATTTTAATTACATTCTAATTTTATGATACACTAACTTTAATTTTTGTGTTGCAGAAGATATTGCCACAGCTTAGAGTCAACCTTAGCTTCTGACATTCTGGCACCGTGCCATAAGGCGCTAATTCAGCCACCGAGTCTTCGACAATATTCTTCCCTATACTAACGTTTAATCGTGATCGTAATAAACAATGTTACAAATAAGGATAATTTATCGTTGAATATTTAGTTTACTTACTTCAAGTATCAAATGGTATAAAATCTTTTTTTTACTTTTCTTCTTCATAATATTTTTACAAAATAGCCCATTCTCTACAAAGGAAAAGTAGAAAGTATAAAAGAGTAATGATTGATTCGTAAATATGAAAATTAAAAATTATATAAATAAAAACAATTAATATTAAAAGTTATTACCTGTTTTCACAAAAAAAAAATGAATAACGAGATAAGATGCAAATAAAACATAAAGATAATAATTACAAATTAAGCATACTGGAGGAAAATTTCTGCTACATTCATCTAATGGTTTATCACTTAAATATTTGCCCGTAACACTCACTTCACAATCATAGTAATTGAGCTATTGTAAGACACATTTAATATTATAAAAATGATAATATTAAAATAATTTAATTATTGTTATGTTTTCAGTTATTTGATCTTTAATTCTTGCTTTTCTGCCGTTCTTATCGCTCAACCAAAAATGAATAAATATATTAAAACGTATGACAGTTTTATGTTTCTTATGCATAATTACGTGTGCGTGCGTGCATCGTAAATATTCGTCAGATGATCGCAGGGTGCGTGTAGTGTGACGTTTTTTATAAATTTCAAAATGAGAGAGAGAAATGGAATTTTTTTTATATTTATCTGATATTTTATCACTTTTATCACTCAAACATTCGCCAGTAACAATAATTGCTGCCCAACCATCGTAATTTCGTTATTGACACATAAGACACATGCCACACAGCACAGGAATTTCAAAAAGCTTTCAGAAAGGTTTCAGAAACATTGAATCTTTCTGAGATTTTCTGTAATCTTTCTGAAAGCTTCTTTGAACTTCTGTGCTGTGTGGGATAGAATCCCATAAAATGTAATGTCAAAATAATATAAAATATTTATTTTTTATTAATTAGTCCTTTAATTCTTGATTTTCTGTTGCAATTATCACAAAACTAAGCATGAATCAAAATATTAAAACATATGACAACTATATGTTTGTTACAAGATCAGTACAAATATAACAAGAAATTTTCCAGAAAAATTATAAACCTAGATAATATGTTTTAATGAGAACTACAACTGCATTTCATAAAGAACAATCTTGTTCAGAAGTATGCTGCATAAGGATTGTAATTTCATTATCGAGATTCATCGTCCTACAAAAGACATGGTCCAGGTCATCCTGCGTTTTGAAGATTTTCTTATTTCTGCAAAAAAAATTCGCTTGTGAGTGTACTTTGCACTGATGTTTGTTTAGGCTATATTTTTGCTTGAAGACGTCATCACACTTGTCGCATTTTATTGGCCGTGTGTTAGCGCGGACGGTTTCTTTATGTTTTTTAACAATGCACTACGATTTCAATTTCTTGAAGCATATCTCACGTTTGAAATGGCCGGTAGACTTGTGTCTCGATTTTATGTGTTCAATTAAACAATCCTTTGTATCTGTCTTGTAAGAACACTCGTGGCAGGTATACTCTCATCTACAACATGTCTACCGTGTTTCTCGAAGTTAGCGTTGAATTTTAAATGCCGCATACAGAACACTTCCAAGAATACTCCGACTCCATGCATGGATGCGATCATCTCTGAGTTGACAGCCTAGGTTTCCCCACGATCCGTAATCGAAGAATTACTGTTTTTGGAAAGCGATATGTACTGAATCGATTCTCGAGAAATACTAGGTACCTCTGTGTGCCATAAGCGCAGAGACAAAGTAACTAAAACACAAATTACAACCAAATCAATTAATATACTAGTAAAGCACAAATAATAAAATACTAGGTTCAAGGACTGAAAATTATTTGTGGTGTTTCAATTGTATGAGGACTTTATTAGAAGTATTAAAATATTAATATGTTAAACAAATTAAATACAAATAAAACAAAAACTCAGAAAGTAATTTTTATATACGTACATATATATATATATATATATATATATATATATATATATATTGTCTTTTAAATTATTTTCTATATGCGGCATATTTTGAGTACAGAAATTTAGTGGATATTACAAAGTGAATTACAGCAATGGTAACGAATCTCGCAAAATTGGCTTTTCTTGGTAAGAGCGGCAAATATATTTTCAGGTTTTATTCCTAGTTTGCAAATACCTTACATGTAGACTGGAATTTTATTATTGTAACAAGTTTTATCGTGTTTCACAAAAAAATATCATATTAATTCTATAGTAGACGAAATAATGCACTTAGGTATTATAATTAATTACAAAATAAGTACAAAATTCAATAGTAATATTTGTAGAAAGATGATCTTCGTTGAGAAGACGACGTGAGATTGTGAAAGATTGTGGTTGATGTGTTTTAAATGATGCTTTCTCGTTGAAAACTGCACATATAAAAGCAGATTATTTCTTCCTTTCTCTTGTTTCTTTTGTTAGATCTAAATGATCACTTTCTTTCATCTCGCAGAGCTTCAGACAGTTCGCAATCATGTTTTTTTCTTTTTTCTTAAAGAAATTATCATAATTGCGGACTTGTTTCTTCGTGTACTTGTACCGACTACAGCTCTGGGCGTATGCCTTGCCGTACATATTCCAGAATTTTTATTTTTCAACCATATGGAGTCGCATGTGCTCCTCCAAATTATATTTCCTTGTTAACGTTTTCCGTAGACCGTACAGTGTGTATCTTTGTGTCTCTGGACATGCTGCTCGAGATTTTCTTTGGTTGTGAAATAACGTTTACAAATCTTGCACAAAAACTCTGACTTGAAGTATTTTCTTCTATTGTGGTTATGTAGTGCTTCTTGGCCTTTGCTAACGCAAACACACTCGTCACAATATATTACTTACCTGTCAATATGGATCACAAGCTTATGCCGCTTCAGATTGAAAGTTGTACTGAACTTCTTGAAACATATATGTCACATTCGTAAACAAGCGCGTTCTACTTAACGCTCGCAATGACGCGAGCGTCATTTTATTTTTGTTATTCATTAGATGTTAAACAAAAATAAAATGAGGCTCGCGTCGTTGCGAGCGTTAAATGGAACGCATCCATCGTAAGTCATCTCGTGCATCCGTTTGATATATTTATTCAAGCTGTCCTTAGTGTTTATCTTGTACGGACAGGTATACTTCAGTCTATAAGACATCTCATCGTGACAATTTAATTTGCTGTGAGTAATTGTACCATCTGTTACACTTTTCAATGCTAATCTTCTGTACGGAATGTTGAATAAACTTTGAGGGCTCACGAAAATGATCCGCACTCGTTATGGCAATTCCTTCCACGTTGAGTTTCTGTTTTCTTGTGACTTCCTTCACGCAGTAATACTCTTGCTCCGTCTCATTGTTCGTCTCATTTTCTTTCGTAATGTGATGTTTACTTTCTTTGGGCGAAGAGACGATCTCTGATGTGTACTTTATAATTTGGAGTGTATGTTTCGAGTAGGCCGCTTTCCTTACGATTAGGGATTTAATAGATCATCCAATAAAATTATTAGAATCCGGGATGTGCAGACAATTCATAAGTGAGTCTTTGAAACACAAATTAGGGTAAGATTAATCGCCAGAGGAAAAATTTTTTATACCCGTTTTGACAGTTCGCGAGATTTCCTCTGCGACAAGAAGCTTTCTGCGCATATGTAGTTGGTTCGATATCCAATAATAGACTGCTACGTTATACCACGCAAAGAAAATCTCGCGAAATGCCAGCACTCCTGTACACACAAAACAAGCGTTTATTTACAAACAAAAACAGACAATGACATACGGATTCTAGCTAGATATCGATGAAAGTCGTACCAATCTGGTGAAAAAATGTCAACATTTTGCGCGTTCGCAGTTTAATTTAACTATTCCCGATACTTTGGATCACAGTAATATATGGCACGAAATTTTACCATACATGTGATATATAAATACATAGATAACACTCAAATGGCATGTACTGAGAACTTTAATATAGTTGTACTATTCATTATAATTATACTATTTGTATAATAGAGAAAAGATGCAATGAATACTTTAATGCCAAATTACTGTTGGCCTTTAGGCCATTGTATCAACTGACGACAGTTAACAAATATTTTAAAGTACATAGTTAATTACTATACTAATGAATGCCATGTACAATATTCATTTTAATTACTGGCAAAATCTGTTTTATGAAATCACATTAGTATTACCAGGGTTGGGAAGAAACGTGTTACTTGTAATGTCGTTACCGTTACAGTTACTTTTTTTCGGTAACTATAACGGTAACGACATTACTTTTTCCGATCGGTAATTCGTAAGGGATCGGTAACAATAACGTAGTTACATTTATCAAGAAGCGGTAACGATAAATTTGTTACTCTAATAATTATATTTTGTTTTAAATCTATTAAATTCGGTTTGTACATAAGCCAGTAACAATAAGCAAAATGACCAGTCATAGTCCATCCTCAATCTGGCAGATAGCGATTATGACTGTGATTGGTCACATTGCTTATGTCTTAAGCCTATGTCTTGGGCCTTGTACAACGACGTGATTACCGACGAGCAATGAATGATATCCAATGAGATCTCTTATTTCTTCTTAAAGCAGAGTTGGATATCGCTCATCGCTTGTCGCTAATCGCTAATGGTTTCACAGACCAGCACGATGCACGACGCGACACGCGATATGCGACGAGCGATATTCAATCAGATATATTTCAGATATACATGGTGTCACGTCACTGTCGCATTATCTCTTAAGGGCAGATTCCTGAAGTAATTTGAATAAGAAAATCCTAATACAAAAATGGCGAGGCTATAATACTTTGAAATTATAAACGATTAAATTTGACCTATTATACTGGCTAAAAGTCGCACGCTCAGGTACGGTACAACACAGTGATACAGTTGCATGCACATATCCCTTTTCCAAATATTGATACGAAAGTTCTATACATAGAACAATATATGTAATAATAATCTGCCTTTTCTATCATTTAAATGAACATATCGCAAATAATAACAATCTCGTCAAAATGTTATGAATAAAATATCACAAAATATATTTATGAGAATCAGTAAGCTGTCACACATTTGACGTTTCTTTCAGAGATTTACATCTAATTTCATATCTTATGCAAATTCTTACTTATGTTCATGTACCTGTACCATTGTGATGTACCGTACCTGAGCGCGAGTACTTTAGCCAATATAATTGGTCAAATTTAATAATTTATATTTTGAAATGTATTATAGCTTCGTCATTTTTGCATTAGGATATTTTTCATAAAATTATTAGAACTCGGAACATGCAGACAATCCACAAATGTGTCTCTGAAACACAAATTATGATAAAATTAATCACCGAAAAATTCTTTATACCCTTTCGTGAGATTTCCTCTGCGACATGAGGCATTCTGCACATACGTGGATGGTTCGATATCCAATAGTAGATTACTACATTACACAACACGAAGAAAACCTCGTGAAACGCAAGCACTGCTTTACACACAAAACAAGTGTTTACTTGCAAACGAAAACATACAATAACATACGGGTTGCAGCTAGATGTCGATGAAAGTCGTATCAATCTAGTGAAAACACAAAAACATTTTGCACGTGCGTAGTTTAAATGAACCATTCTCAATACTTTTTGATGAAAGTAATATATGGTACGGACTATTACCACATATGTGGTATATAAATACATAGATGCTACTCAAGCGGCATATGAGTGGAGAAACTCAATATAGTTCTACTATTCAAAACAATTTTACTATTTCTGTAGCAGAACAAAGATTAAATGCTTTAATGCCAGATTACCAGAAGACCATAGTTTCAAAAGTATCGATAGTGAACAAATATTTGAAGTATATATTTAATTACTATACAAATAAATACCACGGACGATATTCATTTTAATTACTGGTAAAATTGCTCATGTGATTTCAGGAAATCAAATGAGTATTACATGAGTATTATAATAGTGACAGGTATATCGTAGTTGGAAGAACAAATTCTTCAGAAACCCTTGTCTTACTTCCTACTCCGAACTTTATATCTGCATATCAGGATAGACATTTTTCGTTCCAACGCTATAGTAAACAAGCTGAAACTTTCTGCTTATTCTCATATATAAATTAAAATCTTAGTCTCTCCAGCAATAAACATTACTGCGATTGAAATCCAATGCTAAAAGGAATACCGCCTCCACTTGAGATAAATTTACAAATAACGATTATTAATATGAACCTCAGGGTCTGAAAGGACCAACTCTTTATCGGTCGCCGCTTGCCAATAAAAATATTTTCGATTTTACCCTTGTCGTCGGACAATACAAAGATGTTTTAGCGCTTTCTGTACGTTCACTCCCTTTTTGTATGTCTAGTTATGGGCGCGCACGTGCACCGACGGGAATATTCATTATATGATCGCAGTATGCAAATAGTGTGATACTTTTTCAGAATTTCAAAATGAGATGGAGAGATAATGCGAAATTTTTTCTGCATTTATGTGATGTTTTATCGCTTAAATATTAACTATATGTTTGTTAAAATGTAAGTATATATATAAGAACAAATTTCTCCTAAAAATTACCTACTTAGATAAAATGCTTTAATGAGAATTGCAACTGTATTTCGTAAAAAACAGTCTTGTTCAGAAGTATACTGCATAAGGATTGTAATTTCATCATCGAGATTCATCAAAAGACATGACATTAGTACCTTATTAACCTTAAAAGGGGAAAGCACTACAGAGGGACACAAAAATCGAATTTTTTTGCTTTAGTTAATAGCACTCTGTGTATAGAATATATTTCCAAAGTTTGGTTTTGAAATTCAAAATCTAAATGGTCGTACAGGTCCATTTCTCGCACGCAAGTATGAGCGCGCAAGGCGAGGTCTGAGTGAGATGTGACTCGCAACGGCATTGTTCCGAAAAACCCGTTTGAAAAAACGTAAAAAACTATTCTAAGAATGATGTATTAAAAAAGTGCTTAGATGGCTCAAAAAAAATGGAAATATTATAAATTAAAATTGAGCCTCTACGTATGTTATGTGCTGATAATAAGGACAACGCTCAACATTTCTTTCACTACATACAATGTATAAACATTATTCTTAAATTAAATATATTTCTTTAATATTTTATTTACACAAGCAAAAACACTACAAAGTTGGGAAGCGACTGGATAAGTACATTTTTCAAAAAACATTCACGAAAATTTCATTAATTTTGACGTTCTACAGTGTTTTCTTCATTTAAGGAAACAAAATAATATATATATATATATATATATATAAATAATATATATATATATATATATATATAATATATAATTATACATAATATATACTTATACATAATTATATAGTTATATATAATTATACATAATTATACATAATAAATAATATATAATTCATCGTAAAGTCATTCTCTATTTCTTTCTCCAATATATAATTTCTTTAATATATACTTATACGTAATTATATATACATTATTATATAA